AGTTTCTTAAGTTCCCTATATATTCTGGTTATCAGTTCTTTGTCTGATGTATAGCTAGCAAATATTTTCTCCCGCTCTGTGGGTGGTCTCTTTAGTTTAGAGACCATTTCTTTTGTTGTGCAGAAGCTTTTTAATTGTATGAAGTCCCATTTGTCCATTCTTTCTCTTAGTTTGACCTAGCTAATTCTTAAAAATGAGGTTGGAATCATTTCAGCACCACTGGGATTTTGTTTATATAAATTGTTGATTCCATGAGTTTGCATTTCACTTCCCACCCTGAAATGCCATGAACTTTTTGTTTTGCTTAGTTCCGTGAGTACTCTCTGCAGCTCTCAGATTGCTCATTAACCTGTGCCTTTTAGAGAGACTCCTTAGGACATCCTTCACATCAGTTGGAATGTGAAAATTTAGTTGAACAGGAGTGCCCCATTAGCAACAACTCTTAAACATATTGTTTAAGAGAATCAGTTGTATATTATTTTACTTGGCAGAGAATTAAAATGCCCCAGTGGGAGTTTAACCAAAGAAATTGTAGTTGACTTTTGAATATAGTTTTACTAGGAAGTTGTGTTTAAATTGCATGCTAGTAACTAGAGCTTATTATGAACGTCTTCTCAGTGTATTAACTGCTTTCCCTCAGCTATGATATGGATTGTGATGTCTCATTCATTTAGTTAGCCCTAATAGGATATTACATATGTTAGATGACTTTTGGTTTTTTTTCAAACATTAAATATTATCTAGTGTGTTTATTAGTATCTGCCAACTGTATAATTGAAGTAATTAAGAAGATAATTGCATGGCTGCCTTTTGCCTTAGGCCATTAAGAATATTTCACTGGAGTGATTTGCGTAGCTGATACTTGTGCATAGTAGTCTGCAGGGTGTGGGAGGACATTGCTTCACAACCTTCTTCCTCCACTGACTGAAAGAATGGGAGGGAGGAATAGTTAGGCCCAGTCTCACTTTTCTGCTACATTTTCTTATTCTGTCCTTGATGCAGAATGAGAGGAATCTGTCAACATCCTTTGTAAATACGTAGTCCAGGGTTCCACTGTCAGTGCCCAACTGAAATTACACTTGGCCCCACCTAGATGTTTATCTGAAGAATTACGATTTTTTCATACAAATAAAACAACTGATCCTAAAACATTAGCTTACTCGTTCTGCTTAGATTTAATATAATAAATGCCATAAAAAACTAGAATCCCCCAAAATTAATGTTTATTGAACTCTATTGAGTGACCTACTTTTTTGTCTGTTTATCAGTAGTCATCACAGCTAAATGCTGTTAATCATTCAATGAAAGCTACTTGGAGCCTTCCACAAACATAGTTATAGTGCAGTTAGAACATCATGTGTCATGGCTTCCTGGGTCTTGTTTGAAGATTCCCAGTTTCTTGCTTATCACAGCAGAGTGGGTTCTTCCTATCTAGTGCTGTACCTTCTGAACTTCATAGTTCACCACTGCACTTGCTCACAAGTGCATTTGCACCTTTAATTCACTCCATCCTTGTCAGCTCTTTTTCCTGAATGCTGTTAGTTGAGGTCATTTTCCTGCAAAATTTCTATTCTAGTCCTACTGAATCTCCTTGCACTAGAAGTCTACCCACCTTGCACGTATATTCCAGGAGCCTGCTGTGGAATTCTTTGGAGATGTAAGCAGACTCTGCCCCAGGCATTGTGGGAGTAAGAGATTCCCCTTCATCACCAGGGAATTTAAGATTGACTAAGGGAGAGATAGGGAAGAAGGCAACTAATCTATATTGAGGTACATGCAACAATCGAGTCTCCTAAACTAACTAGAGGAGTCATGGTTTCCCATTTCATTACTTGAGCCCTCTTCACCACTTACTGGGATTTGAAATGTATTCTTTGCGACTTGTACTTTGTCTGCAGTGCAGTGCCCCAGATCCATTCTCAGGAACTCATGATATCTGAGTATCCATAAGTTCTACATTTTTAAGATTTTTTTAAAAATCACTTTATCATTAGTAAAGCACTGAAAAAAAACAACAATAATCTTTCATATATGTATTCATTTAGCACAGTCAAGTGCCAAATCTCTTATCTTGGCAAAGTCCCTGTTTTGGTGGAAAGAGCAGACAAGTTTCTGAGCCCCCATCCTCCCAACTTCTGTGGGTGTTGTTCATTGCTACGTTACAAAGGAGCTCTTAGGAAGCTTCTGGCTGCTTTAGGGGGAACATTTGATTCTCATTCTGTCTGTGATTTAGGGACCTAATCTCTCCTCTTTAGGGGAGACTATGGAGGAGCCAGCCAAGCCAGGTACCCTGTGCTCACCAGTACCTGACTTTCCTGAATCTGCCCAGGCTTTGTCTTTGTTAAGACTGTTTCTCCCTTTCTCTCCTCCCCCTCCTTTCCACTCCCTGTTTCCTCCCTCTTTCCCCTTCTCTGCTTTCTTACCCATTCCTGCTGCCTTCCCTGACCCTTTCCACTTACATGTCACTGCCTGAAGTGTCCTAATTTTAATTTTATTGTTACTGTGAATGATAACGACTTCCATTTCCATCTCAGCTATATAGTATGGGAAACCTAATTTAGGCACTTACAAAAATGTACCTTGGCTTTACAAGTTCTCCAAAGGAGTCCAAGCCCAGCAAAGCAGAATAAACCAGACTTATCTCTCCCTGTCTTTGTTGCCCTCCATCCTATCTCTAGTTCCTCAAATGGTAGGGGCCTTCAAGGCTCCAGCCTGGCTCTTCTCTTCTATCTTTAAGTCCTCACCTCAGGCCATCTGCCTGATTCTGTTTTGTATCTTGGACTCTCAAACTTGTGTCTTACTGCTGTCTCCTTTGAGCTCTGGGCCTCTGTATTCACTGCCTAGTGACATCTTTTAGGACATCTCAGACATAGAGCATCCAGTCAGATCTGTGATCATCTTTTACAGCCTCCTTTTCCTCTTGCTTCCTGGCTCTGAGAACAGCATCCATCCAGCTGCACACATCAGGAGTCTGTAATCTCCTATAGAGGCTGCCTTTTGTGGCCATTGGGTTGCCTCCTGTAGATGCCTGGAATATGTCTGCTGGTCTCCACTGTCATGTTCCCAGTTCATACACTGGTTCTCTCTGTCAGGACTGCTTTATCATCACTTTGCAGAGGCCTCATCCCATCAGCCATGCACACCCCCCAACTTTGTCTGCATGGTTATCACTGTGCCTGTCATACAGTATGCTTACTGTTCAACATTAAGGAAAGGATTAAATTCACTGTGTGTGCACCTCTCATTTATCTGTTCTCATCCCGCAGTCTTTTTGTTGTCTGATTATTAGTCAAATTTTGGCATGATCCTGTACTTCTGTGTATGCATTCACATCATTTAGGAGATCTCTTCAGGTCAATGTTAATTGTCCTCCTTCTCAAGAACTTCCTGAAGTTCAACCTCTGCAGTGCTCCAGGGGTTACTTGGTGTGCTTCTTCCATTTATGAGCATTGTTATTTTACACTGAAAATAATCTGTACTTCATACATTTAACATTTTCCTTTCCACGCATACCTTTTTTTGTGTTTTTTAATTTTTAAGACTTTACAGATGTTATATACTATGATTAACTATAACACTATATAGATTTCACTTGTTTTAGAAAGCAGGTTTTTAAAAATACGGATGTCTGTTGAATTTCATTTCTTTGTCATGTACAGTTCCATTTTGCAAATACATTTGATAAAAAAAAACCTTTAAAAATAATAATTCCATGATTCAGAGAAGGGTAAAACATTCTAATAAGCAGATTTTTTTGCTGTGGGAAACTAAAAGGAATTCTTAATATCATGACTCAATTTAAGCAATGGGTTTTGTGTATATTTGTGATGACCATCTTCAAATTAAATTTTGCCAATTTAAAAATCCTGTATTTGTTTTTTTTCCTAAATTCAACTGAAGTGATTTCAGTTCCATTATTAAAAAATATCTTCATGAAATCAAAATCATAAGATACAATTTCATACACATTAGGATAGAAAATAACAAGTGTTGGGGAGGATGTGGAAAAATTGGAACGTGTTAGGCATTGCAGGAACATAAGATGGTAGAGCACTGTGGAAGAAAGTCTTGGGGCTCCTCAAACAATTAAACAGAATTACCATTTGATCTAGCAATTTCACTTCTGAGTATATATGCAAAAATATCAAAAGTACAAACCTGACCAGATATTTGTACACCATGTCCATAGCATCATGATTCACATTGGCCAAAAGAAGGAAGTGACTCAAATGTCCACATACACATGCATAGGTAAACAAAATGGGGGCATATGCATACAGTGGGATATTAGTCTTAAAAAGGAAGAAAATTCTGGCACATGGTGTTACACTATTGATGAACCTTGAAGATGTTATACTAAGGGAAATAAGCCAGTCACAAAAGACAAATACTATATTTCACCTATATGAGGCAAAGAATAAGTATAGAATAGTCAAACTCATAGACAAAAAATTACAGTAGTGATTGCCAGGAGCTGGGAGAGGGAGGGCTAGGGGGAATTGTTTGATGATTGTGGAGTTTCAATTTGGGATGATAAAAGTTCTATAGTTGGGTAGTGCTGATGTTATCAGAACAGTGTGAATGCACCTAATGATATGGAACTATACAACTGAGAATGTTTTAAGTGGTAATGAATATATTTTCCATAATAATAAAAATACAGGTTTATTGTGACTACATGTAAATCTACAGTTATCTCCAAAGGACAATTTTGTAAAAACCCAAAGCCCTTTAGGTAATAAATGTAGGTTTATGCCCTTCACATTCTTTGTTTTCTTTATTGAAACATTTGTTCAGTTTGTGTTGATATCATAGTTGACAGAATGAGAAGTTAACCCAGGACCCTGGGTCTTTGTTCTTACCTCAGTTTTTGAAGATCAAGCTACATAGACACTGTCCATTTACAGAGTGTGACCTCCAGCTCAGTTTTCATCAGACTCATATTATATATACTAGTGTGTACTCAAGGCATTTAGCTCTGCATTGTCCTATTTTCCCAGGTATACCTTGAAAGACTTTTAACGTATGCAGAGATAGATATCTGTCCAGCCAACTGGAAGCGAATTGTTCTAGGGGCGATTCTGCTGGCCTCCAAGGTGTGGGATGACCAGGCCGTGTGGAATGTGGATTACTGCCAGATCCTGAAGGACATCACAGTGGAGGACATGTGAGTTAGGGGGCATCTTTCATGTCTCGGTGGGGCTGTTTGGGAGGGAAAACATCCCTTTTGGATGGTCTGCATGGTGTAGAATTGATGAATTTGACTGAATATCTTTGTGAGCTGGCACAGCAGGGACATAACAAACCTGTATTTCTCTTCGTTATAGATTTTGGAACTTGCTGGCAACGCTTTCTAGGTTTATGACACTAGTTTACTAAACCTATAGGCAAGCATTTCTTTCCTTTAATTAGGAAGTACAGATCAGCACAGTGATGGCTTACATTTGGGCTCCTTATTTTACAGCAGACTGATAATTCAGTTTTAATGCCTCACATGGTTTTCTGTGGGCAGCAAGCAGAGGAGCTCAGTTATTTTCTGGTTCTGTTTAATTTTAAGAGCATTTTCACTGCTTTGTCATGTTTTGCAAGGTCAGCTGCTGAAAATCAGTCTTGTGTCCATGGGGCCTGTTGTGCCATCTTCTAGGCTGCATGTCCTCCTGTGGCTCAGTGAAGAGCCTAAACCGTGGAGAGGGGTTGTCCACCCTGACTCTCAGGGCTGTGTTAGGGTTTCTCAGTGGGGTTAGCCGTCAGAGTCCTGTGAGGATTATTAGTAAGAAGCCTACAGACTACTGTCTGAGATCTCTGTAGTCAGAGAAAAAGGAGTTGTAGGAGCACTTAACCAGGATGAAGTACTTACAGTTCGTTTGATTTATAATCCTTCTGACACTATCCTTGCGAAAATTTTTTCTCATACTTTTTATGTAGTTTAGCTCTTCAACAAACCTCCTTGAGGAAACTTTAGGCTGGAGGAGGTTACCAACTCCATCCCAGTCTCCACATCTACATCCCTGGGCTCAGTAATCCCAGGAGTGTTGGTTCTTCACAAGACCTGTAACTTTGCCTCTATGAGGGAGTCCCTAGGCCATGAACACATGGATGCACATCCTCACCAGCCTCTGGGCTTCTCTGCTTCTTCCTAGTAATTTACTGGGCACCCCATGTTGTGATGCCTTTGAGCATATTGACTAAGCTCTTAGGTGTTTTGTTCCTACACCTATAAAACCCCTTCTGGCTGGGCACCGGTGGCTCATGCCTATAATCCTAGCTGCTCAGGAGGCAGAGATCAGGAGGGTCACGGTTCAAAGCCAGCCTGGGCAAATAGTTTGTGAGACCCTATCTCAAAAAAATACTATTGGCAGAGTGGCTCAAGGTGAAGGCCCTGAGTTCAAGCCCCAGTACTGCAAGGGGAAAAAAAAAAAAAAGCCCTTCCTGGGCCTATAATTCTTTGTCATCTGTAGTCAGAAAAATGAAGTTTTCAATCAAAATGATAGAAAAAAAATTAAATTTTTGATTATATTTCAAGGTGAAAGATCTACTAAAATAGTTGTCATTCAGACCATAAAAGAGATGGACAGTTGGGTGCAAGGTGGTATGAAATTCTGGCCTGTGTTCTTTAGGAGGGGCTATTCTTTCATCAACTCCTTGGTACCATTTGACCTGAATTGCATGCCTTTAGTGACTTCTTGGTGTCCCTTCCTGTTTGTGTAGATAGGCTGATGTGACCAGTGACTTGGTGTGGGCAGTGGTGCTCAAACTCTGTAAGAGCACACAGAGGGCCCCAGCACAAGCGTCGTGTCCACTTAAAGTCAGAAGCAAAGACCTGCTGAGGTTAGACTTATTTCTCAAATATTTTTGTGATTTATTTCTCAGCTGTGTCCAAAAGGAAATGAGATATAAATTAAAGATACCATAGAAGCATTGAGGCAAAAGAACAGGGAGAAATGAAGAGTGAACAGTACTAAAGGTGACTGGGAAGAGATGACCCTATGTCTTATCCTCAGTCTACCAGCTTAATTTGCCTAAAGGCCAGCAAGGATGAACTTTGGTGTAAACTTAGGATCAGTGGAAATCCTTCTGAAAGGCTGAGAATGTGGCTTGGCGGTAGAGTGTTTACACAGCATGTGAGAGGCCCATGCCGGCACCTCAAAACAACAAAATGAAAGCAAACTCTGAGAAAGTGTTTGTGAGTAGTTACACATTGCATTCCATGCACGTATCAGTTCTATTCTCTCAGCAACTGTGCAGTGTGTGTCCTTATTGTTGTCACTGTACAGATCTGGAAACCCAGGCCTAGAAGGTTAATAATGCTCCAACAAAATAGCCAAGTGGGGAATCTTCCTAATCCTAGTGAATGCTCTAGTGGTCAGATGACAAAGCAATGGAAATGATGTGTACTAGTCCCCATGCTGTACCTAAGTGCCTTAAATATTCATTTTTAACTTTAGAATTCCAGCTACACTGAAGGTTTAAATTATCAAGGTAGGAAGAACTAACTACTAGGAATACTTAAAATAGCAACAATAAAAGAACAGTGATAATAATCATGGCAACTATTTAAATGTTAGCACTTCCTAGCCCCCAAAGAACTTATGTTCATTTCTCATAGTTACATATTTATTCCCATTTTACAGATGAAATTGAGGCACTGGGAAGCTAAGCAGGATACTTAGGTCACTTGGCTAATACCTCTTCTCTTCTAAGCAATTAAAGTTAAAATTGTTTCCCTTATCTAATATTAAATAAAATATGACAAGTTTTTCTTGAAAGTCAAGTCCTTTTCTACACAAAGAAGTTAGAAAATTTGGCCAAAATTGACTCAGCTAAAATTAAACTTTAATACCAAGAATTGTTTTGGGGCTGGGGACATTGCTCAGTGGTAGAATGCTTGCCTTGTGTGTGTCAGACCTGAGTTCAATCCCCAGTACTGCAAAAGGAAAAAAAAAAAAAAGAATTCTTTCGATAATGATATTTTTAATACTTGCCTTTTTGTTTTTTTGGTGGGACTAGGGTTTGAAGTCAGGGCTTCGCACTTGTTAGGCAAGTATTCTACACTGTGAGCCACACCTCCAGCCCTTTTATTTCTGGATATTTTTGAGGTGGGGTCTTGCTTTTGGCCCAGGCTGACCTAGAGCCATGATCCTCCCAATCTTAGCCTCCCACATAGCTGAGATGACAGGTGCCCGCCTCCATGCCCAGCTTTTCGTTAAGATGAACTTTTTGTCTGGGCTGGCCTGGAACTGCGAACCTCCCTATCTCGGCCTCAAGTAGCTAGGATTATAGTATGAGCTATTGGCACCTGGCTGAAGCTGGTTCTTCACTCAGTATTTTGGGAGGACTAGCACCATGGTGAGTTTTACAATACTCAGTATTCGTGCAAAAGGTTTTTTCCATATTTTATCCAAAGAAGATCGTTACTTTTTTTTAATCTGGTTTTTGTCCTTATCTTGAAAACCATTGGTGGCCAGGCTGCCTCATCATTACGCAAATCACTGACTGAGTCTTATCAAATTGTACAGCATTTGATGAATGACTCAAATGTCTGTGGCTGAGCAGAGGAAAAACACATACAGGGAGCATTTTGTTCTTGAAAGATAGGGCTATAGTCAGGCCTGGTGACCCACATGTAGCGCCCAGCATTTGGGAGGCTGAGGCAGAAGGATCACAAGTTTGAAGCCACCCTGAGATCAATGGTGAGACCTGTCTCAAATAGAAAAGAAAAATGAGGCTGTATAAAGTCTTCCTGAAGAAACTCTAGGGTGATGCCCTATTCTTTTGCCATCCTCTGGACTGGGAAACAGATTACCAGAAAAAATACAGCTCTGGTGAGCAGAGCTAGGACTTCCTGTGCCTGCCCAGCTCTGGAGGTTGAAGGCCTGCCTCAGGCCAGGTCCGAACTTACCAGACTGAGTCCTTGCCTCCTCAGACTCTTGTGTGGTAACTCTACCATTTGTTTCGAGAGCCACGTGATCTACTCTTAGTATACTGTTTAGTCTGTGGTATATGTAGTGTACTGAAAACCCAGTGTATGTAAGGAAAACTGATCAAATAATTGCATATCTGGGTATTTGGGAATGTACATGTTTTCTCCTCCAAAAAATAGAAACAGAATGGTCTCTTTTATTAGGGGATATGAGCCAAAAGAATGCTCTTGTACCCTGTCGTTAGGATTCTTGGTTGTACAAAAGTGTTCAGAGCAATCCTGCATCCATATCTATTTGGAGGAGCAAAAGGGCAAACTGGGTAACCATAACAACAAAGGTCTTCGTGCATTTTGGCTTGTCTGTCCCTGAAAGAATTTTGAAAATTTTTGCATTGCTACTGTTTTTAAAGTGATAATAAAATTTTTTCATCATAAGTTTGGGTAATTGCAAAGGATGTCATTTGCAGTATATTTAAAACCATACTATTTTCAAGTTAAAAGTATGCATTGGAGACTGACAGTAGCAATGTGACACCCTCCATTATCCCATTTTCTTAGGGCTGAACATTTTATATTGTTCCTTTTTTTCTCTTTGAACTCTTCCAGTTTCCTCCCACATTAATTTATTCTTCAAAAATGTACCTATAGATTAAAACTATAGTGTCATATTCTTCTGAACTATAATGTTCTAACTTATTAAAAACACCTTCAGGTCTGAGTTACTAGCGAACAATTGATCAAAATAGTACAAAGAGCTGGACATTGTTGTATACCCCTGTAATCCCAGTACTTAAGGAGGCTGAAGCAAGAGAATTGAGAATTCCAGATCAGCCTGGGCTATCCATGAGACTCTGTCTTAAAAAAAAAGAGTATAAATATATTACAAACTTCAATATGAAAAATTAAATATAAAAAGTAAAACATTGTGAGAAATAGGTCTCTTAATGAGAGTGGTGTAGCAGATTTTTCTCCCATTGCTTCATATTTTCATATACAGTTGTTACCTAGTAACAGAATGAAACAAAAGTTGAGCGTTTTTCTTCTGTAACATAAGAGCTGAGAAAATGTGTTCTGATAAGTAGATGAAACTGCATATTTTGTTATAATCCATCACTGAAGACTTTTAATGCTTTCTCAATTATATGCTAAAATCATATAGTTACCTGTTAATAAAAGTTTTTTAAATGAGTCCACCAGTCACTCCTTTGGCTTGTTGAAGCAAAAATGGAAACCATAAAGTAGTTAACCAATCATTAGTATTTGCCTTCTCAATACCAAATGTTTAGATAGGCTTTTTGCTTAGCTCCTTTGGACAAGGAACCTTAATAAGGATGGGGAGTGACCTGCCTTTTCCTCCCAAAGCAGGAGAAAAGTGACTAGGAAAGAAGCCGACAGGATAACCTTCCTCCTTGGATGTGTTCTCTGGCAGGTCAGTCTTAGGAGAGAAAAAAATCAATGTTACAGATCTAGAAATCAATCCTCCAATTCTGCCGTTTTCCCCAGCATGCTTGAAGCACTATTTCTACTATAAGCAAATGCATATCCCATCCTCAAAACTGTGCCCCACTTGAGCCCTATAATACCTACTACATGTTCAGCTGAATTACATCTCCTCAGAATGTTGAAGGCCTAACCTCAAGTACTGCAGAATGTAACCCTATTTGGACATATATTTTTAAAGAAGACATTAAATTAAAATCGGGTAATTAGGGTTGGCCCTAATCAAATATGCACAGCGTCCTCATAAGAGGAGGTTGGGTCACAGACAACACAAGCAGAGGGATGTCCATGTGAAGACACAGAGAAGGTGGCCATCTGCCAGCCAAGGACAGAGGTCCCAAAAGATACCTTGTTCTTGGTATCTTCTTCCAGCCTCCAGAACTATGAGAAAATAAATTTCTGTTGCTTAGGCCACCTAGTTGTAGTATTTTGTAATAGCCCTAGCAAACTAATACAAATTTTAGTAGTGGGAAGTGGATGCTGCTATAACAAACATGTAAAAACTGTGAAAGTAGCTTAGAACTGGGGAATAAGTAGAGCCTGGAATAGTTTTTGGTTTGTTTGTTTTGGTGGTCCTAGGGTTTGAATTCAGGACCTTGTACTAACTAAGCAGATGCCCTACCACTTGCGAGACACTCCCAGTCCATGACTGGAATAATTTTAAAGCATGTTTTTAAAAAACAAAACCACCTGTGCCCTTCAGTTCAATTGGCAGCATTTCTGCTGAGGTGACCAGCCAGATCCATGACTCACACCTATCATCTTGTCAGCAAATGCTGTCTATCCATATCCTTAGTGTTCTCTCAGAAAACATTTTCTCAGTTTTGCCAATACAGATAGGCTGAGATTGGAAAATTTGAGATTTTCCAAGTCTTCAATGTCAAGATTTAATTCCTCTTTTATAGTTTCTTCACTTAATCTTTCTCCTCTCAGAGCAGTTAAGTGGTGACCACATTCCCAGATCAGCTTTGAGGCAGCAAATGACAATTGCTATACATGGGAAAGGGCATTGAAGTTTGGTTGTGCCAAGTTTTGTAGGCATCCTTAAAAGCTCTTCAAAAATTACACTTTGGAATTGGTCTGTATTGATTTTCTTTGCAATAGTCCTATAAGGGCAATTTTCATATGTAGATAGAGGAATCCCATATGAGCAAAGGCCAGGTGACTTGTCTGAGTGGTAAATAGCAGATGATAGCAGAGAGTGAGAGCCTCAGTCCTTCCTTCCACACCTGATGTCTAGTGTTTGTTTTTGTTTGGGGTCAAATATCCATAACAAAATTAACCATCTTTAATATGCGGTTCAGTGGTATAAGTATATTCACACTGTTGTATAACTGTCACCACTGCCCATCTCCAAAACATTTTCATTTGCCTGTACTGAAACTCTGTTGTTACAACTCCTTTCTTCCCTTCCCTAGCCTCTGGAAATCATGTCCTACTTTCTTTCTGTAAATTTGCTGCTCTAGGTACCTCATACAAGTAGAATCATGCAGGATTTATCTTCTTGGGACTGCTTATTTCATCTAGTCCTCAAGGTTCCTCCATGTATGGCATATGTCATGTTTTCCTTTCTAAGGCTGAATACTGTTTCATGGTGTGTACACACCTCATTTGTTTTGCATTCATTTGTCAATGGGCTGTGAACATTGCTTCTACTTGGACTAGTGTAATGCTGCTATGAACATAGCTGTACAAGTATCTCATTAAGGTCCTGATTTCATTTTTTGGTAGACAACAGTTATTTCTGAAATTATTGACTAGAATGTGTCTCTCATAAATGTTTAATACCAGAACTGTTTTCTCATAATTACCCAAATGAGAGCAGTAAACCCATCAAGCCTGTTCTATCACTGACATTTTTCTGTTAATTTATCATATAGCAAGCTGTCAGATTTCTCTTGAAGATGTGCTGTCATTTGGAAATTTAAATTTTGGAAAATGTTTCTATTTTATAAATCCTGCCTTAATATGAAAACACAAACAGCTCTAAAATTCCTATTTCCCCCAAAGCTTAATCAGAAACATTCATGAAACACAAGTCTATACAAAGGTTGATCTTTTTTCCAAGGAACCCTGGGAAAATGCCATCTTGTTCAAAAATATCTTCCTCTTTTACTCATAATGTGTGTTTGCAACTGGAGTGGTTGGTTGCCCCCATTACCATTTTGGATAGGTTTATCAGACTAGTTCTCTCAAAATATTAAAATGAGGTTTTCTTCCTTAGTATTGGGAGACAAAGCTCTGCAGTGATGCCTCTTAGCCACCAGGTGACAATCTATCCACAGGCCACTACCACAAATCACCAGGACTGCTCCTTGGAGCCCATTTATTTTGGCACTTCTGATCTTAGCCATGTTTTTAACACTCTTGACTCAACTAAAATTTTATGTGGTTCTAGTATTTCACAGGGTGATCTCATTAAATCCCATTCAAGAGAAACATGAATAAAAGTCATTTAAAGTTAAAAATAAATAAGTCCTCCCAAATAACTTTAAATTCCTTAAAAATGTAAAATTTAACACAATATATGCATTCAAAGCAGTCATCTCCTTTCACTAAGCTGTGCAGAAACAGCAAGATGCACTGTTTATCTAATTAAAAGACCCAGGTGTGGCTTCAACAAGGCCTTGCTCAGCAGCTTGCTGGTTTCATAGTTCTCATTTACCCAGTAGCTTCTGTATACCTGAAGCCACCACTCTTGCTCAGATCCTAGCCTTCCTGCCCCACCTCCTTCATGCCCCTGTCCTCCTCAGCAGCATGAAGCTGGGGCATAATTTCCTCATCCTCAGACACTGGGCAAGGTGATTGACAGATGAGGCGATGGGAAGGAGAGTGCTACGGTATTCCAGGTCTGAGGAGTCAGTGCATGTTCTGTGCAGTCATAAAGAACAGCTCAAGTGCAGAGGCCTGGCACAAATATCATGCTTGCCAGTATTCAGCTTCCCGCATGGAGAGTGGGGTTGAGACATCCCACCCTCCTGTGCTGGGGTACACTGGAATGTGGAGGTTTGAGTGGGCCCCTCTGCTGGAGGTGCCTTACCTTGTTCATCGCTTCCTGAACTCCACAGGTACCTCTCCTTGCTTCAGCTCTTCTCTGTAAAATTGGGCCAGGCTTGTAAAATCAGAGACCAAATGAAGCCAACAATTACAACTGTGGTATAATAAAGGACAAAAATAGGTGACAGGTAGTTTGCTATGGACTGGGCAATACTGGGTACTTTCTGGGTGAGTTGGTGCTGAAACTGATGGCCCAGGGCCATGCCTGGAGAAACAGTTCTGTCACTGCCCTGCTCCAGGTATTAACACAACAATTTGAAAGAGCCCACATAACAGGTTCTCAAAGTACACATTTAAAATTTTTTTCTGGTTTATTGCCATTGATTTTCAGCAGAATGATGAATGGTTTGGTAAGATGGATCAAGATCCATCTTGACACTCACCTGAGTCTCCCAAGTTGACTGGTTTGAGTGTGGGCCTGGACCAGCATCCTTAGCACCATCAATCACCTGTTCAACATGTGAATCCCCAGATGTCCTGAGTCAGAGTCTGAGGGTGGTGCCCCTCAGCCTCTTAACAAGCCCTCCAGGAGACTGAATGCCCAAGCCTGGGAATTCTGAACTCCCCAGTTTGGATTGAAGCTAGAATTGACCACTCCCCCTCCGGCTTCTTCCTTAACACTTTCCCCAGTTCTTTCTCCCAGGAGACAGGAAAGGACCATTGAGAAAGCACAGTCTTCTAGGTCTACAAATGCCAGGCCTTTTCTCTGGTTACAGTGGACAGCTGGACTACTTCTGTCCCACCATGAAAGACGCAGGCCAGACCAAAGTGCAGGTGGTTGGTATTTGTGTCAGGTCTCAGTGAAATGCATGGCCCTGAAGTACTCCCTGGTGAGCATGTCAGTTAATCAGGCTTCATCCTTCTGGGCTCAAGTGGGTTTGGCTTTTAATACCAATGTGGTGGCTAAACTGCCTCTCTGGTGTCCACCCAGGCAGTTAATTCAATCTCTTTCCCCCTGGAGGCTGCAGGTTTCTGAAGTTGTTTTTCCAGCAGCTTGGTGGGGCAGCTAAGTGTGTGCATCTTTTGCTTTGCAGGAATGAGCTAGAGCGACAGTTCCTTGAATTGCTCCAGTTCAACATCAACGTCCCTTCCAGTGTCTACGCCAAATATTATTTTGATCTTCGCTCTTTGGCAGAAGCAAACAACCTGAGCTTTCCCTTGGAGCCCCTGAGCAGGGAGCGGGCCCACAAGCTGGAGGTGAGATGGTTTAGGACATCAGGGTGCAGGCATGGGTGCAGGTGCTTCATCCCATTGCCATAGATGTGTGTGACTACAGTGACAGTCTCTCCAGTACACTGTCACATAGGGACAGGCCCCCAGATGTGCTTCCAGCCATTTAACTCAGTTGATTGTATTTGTATAATTTAATATTTTCAGTAACCTTAATAATAGTTTTCACTTAATATGCATTATTTCTGTTTTGAAATTAAATGTTGTTTAGAACCCTTGTGCTTATTTATAAGAAGTATTTCCAGCTTGCAGTTTTATAGAAAACCTACCAGATGATTTAACAATTGGGAATCCAAAAAAAAAAAAATTGATTCTGCTTTTTTTCTTTCTTTAATTATTCTCCTATAATTTGTTGAAGCTGGGGCCAGCCTCATTGGTCTTGGTCTATATTAGAGCCATCATTCACCTGTGTGACTGTTGTGTCTGAAGACAGCATGTGTGTAGCTCACCTTCATGTTTTCGGCAAGCTCTTCCTATCTGACTGTTAGACAGTCAGTATGATAAAAAGGACTGCTGGAGACCCCTTCTCTAGAGATAGCCTGCTACAGCCTAGTCTCTTTTCCTGTGGAATTTAATCTCTCTGCAGCATTCTGGCCTCATTCATAGTGCCTTTGACCAAAGTGGTGGATGGTACAGTGATATCCCTAACTTAGTGCACTCAAGAGTTCCTTGTGCTGCCCACTCCAGTGTCCATATAAAGTGAAATGCTGTCTCCTTGCAGCATGCTCTTCTAACTATAATTGTCATGTGCAAAACAAAGCCGAGAGGTGGGAGAAGAAAGTTGTTAGAGATTACAGGCTTAAGAAAGCAAACATTTGGAAAAGTAAGTAATATTTTAACCCCAAGGAAAAATTTAGCAAAATAATGGAAAAGACTGAATGGCTAGCACTGATGCTAAAATAAATATCAGAAAGGTTTATAGAAGTGAGTCATTATGCCTTGCTTGTCCCAGCCATTGGATGAAAATGCCCATTTAGTTTTTTGTCATCTGTTTAAGAGGAAAACTGAGGAGTCTGGTGTGTGGGCACATGCCTGTGGTTCCAGCACTTGGAAGGCAGAGGCAGTAGACTCACAGATTTGAGGCCTCAAAATAGTTTTTTTAGAAAAAGGAAATCTGGAAAACCCTCCCTCTGAAGGATTTGTTCCAGGGCCTATGTTCAGATGATGACAGGCAAATACATGAAATAGAATCAAGGTTTCCGGGTGACCATGGGTCTGTACCTCAGCTGTACTGTAGGCCCCAGTGCCTTTAGCGTGTCACTGTGGGCTCTGTGTGCTTCTTCACTGCTGAGGAGAGGAGTCTGGCGCTCCTGCAATAGCTGAGCTCTACAGGAAAGCAGTGTGTATTCTCTGATGGAGAGCATCTAGTGCCCCAGGTCAGCCCACCTGAGAACAAAGACTGGCCTGTGGGGGAGCTGGTAACTGCCATCCACAGGTTTATCTAAATGCAAAGAAAGGGGACTCTGCTGCTAGGCTAAAGGGATTCACCAGGGCTGAAAAGCCTCTCATGTCCTGACCAGGCTGCTCTTCTTAGGAAAGCCTGTTAAGGGCTGGACAGAATCAGTCTCAGGAAGAACAGTTGATGCCCTTTGAGATCCTTTGTAAAGGGTAGGGATGTGTGAATTTTTCAGATCCTAGCATACTGTTAGTCAAGAAGGAATAAGACATAGTAGAAGCTGCCAGAATCTGAAGTTCTGTACCTTTTCAGATCTGCTGCCAAATGACTTTTTGACATTTTGATTGTATGATATTGCATTCAGATTCACTGTTTGTAAACTGAGAAAAACAGATGATAATCTTAGGAAATTTAAGTAAGAATTTACTCTAAGCAATGAACAGCTCTAATGCCCCTTAGGAATCTGATTTTTCTCTGTGTTATGTGTACAGCATGTTTGGGAGGAGGAATCTTCAATTTGGGATAGCCTGTTCTAGTTCATTTCTCATTTGGACAAAGATGTCCTTGATTCCTGTTTATCTCTTCCAAACCATTTTCTATGCTACCAGGGAAGCTGGCTTTTCTAAAATGCAGTTTGGAGTTTTATAATGTTCTCCTAAAATCAGGGGCAGGTTTGTGCTACCTGAGGAATAAAGGCTAAGTCAAGCCAGTACCTTGGATGGTCTTCTCAGCCTGGCCCTGGCCAGCCTGCTCTCTCCATCCCTTGCTGTCCTCTCATAGACTTGAGCCTGGCCCTCCCCACATCAGCACCATGTGGCTGGGGTCTCCTGTCCCTGTTGAGGATGCTCTTACTTCTCTCTTCTTCTAGGAAAAGCCCTTGAAACCTGGTTCTGATGCCGTCCTTGGCCACAAGTATCCCCTCAAAGTAGAATTGATGAATTGCTAATTCCTCTGTGCTTCCAGGCACTTGGAACATACCCTTTTGTGTTCATGCTCTGCCGTGTACACATTTCAGTTGGAGCTTACACATCCATTCAACACCCATGTAACTCAGGGCTAACCAACACCAGGGAACACCATGAACAAACATGCCCTTTTGGAGTTTACCTCCAAGGAAAAGACAGCAAACAAAAAGCACAATAAATAAGTCAGTTAGTATGTTAAAGGCAAGTAAAAAAGATGAGGCAGAACAGAGTCAGATGGCTGTATTGAGCAGCCTCCCCCATTGGATGATGTTTGCAGAGACACTAAGCGCAGTGCCTCACAGATCCTCCGGCTGCGGAGGAGCTGCTAAGGTCCAGGCTGGTCCAACTCTGATCTGCACTGTCTCTCTTGCCCCCAGGCTATCTCTCGCCTCTGTGAGGACAAGTACAAGGACCTGAGAAGATCCATAAGGAAGCGGTCAGCAAGTGCTGACAACCTGACTCTGCCTCGGTGGTCCCCAGCCATCATCTCCTAATACAGTGTCCCCACTGGAGGCTGTGCCATCCCTCAGTTTCTCCTTTAGCTTGAGAAAAGACACAAGCGGGGTGGTTCTGTTTTGTTTTTTCCTCTCCTTTTCTTTTTAATTCATAGTTCCATCAGGCTGCCTTCATGACCACCTCTGTGCTGTGTGCCACAACACAGCAAGGCTTCGAGGGACGCAAGATCAGTGTTCTGGAAATGCTGGGCCATGCTTTTCCTCGTCGTCATTAACAGCACTCCCTCTGGAGGAAAGACTGTATCCCGGAGGAGGAAATGAAGGGACAGGAAAGTCGTGTAGAGGCAGGGAAAATGGTTGAGTGGCTTGGCCATTTCTGAGTCCCCCATCTGGTCAGTAGATGAGTAGACGGAAACTGCACGATAGATAGCAGAGTTGGATGTGCATTAAAGACAGGAGTGCCACGTTCATTACCCTGTTGGATCAGTATGTTCTGTAAGACTTCTTGCATTCCTTCTTGCTGCTTTTGGGGGATTTGGGGGATTTTTGTTTGTTTTTACTCCGTTTTGGTTTTGGTCCTGGTCCCACAGAGCAGAGATTATAGTTTGTACCCACCACAGCACAGACATCCAAATAAATAGTACTGTTTGTTTCTCTCTGCACTATTTTTGCGAGCTGTCTTCTGAACTTTCTTCCTCACAAGTGGGATGTGTTTGTTACGTTTCTGTACACCTTTACATAGTTTTTCTTCAACAGTGGCAAATTAACTTGACTGTAATGCTGAACCAAAAGTATCCCTCTCCCTCCTCATTTCTCACCCCAAGAAAATTCTAGATCACATGGGTGCTTGCGCCTTCCAATGTTCTTGCAGTTGTTTTTTGTTGTTATTTTTCATTCCCTTTTTTTTTTCCCTCTCACCTGAAGTTGTAGTTACAAAAATCAGTCAGACTTTGTGAGCAGAAGGAAACAATATGCAGCAAAGGGTATCCTCAGGGTGAGAGTGGTGTTTGTTTTTTTTCTTTTAGTGTTTCCAGGGAGCATGATATCTGCCGGAAGTCATTGCATAGGACATGTCTGTGTACTCCCTAGCCATGCCATTCTGTACTTATGTCCGTTGTTGCAAGCAATATTCTTCTCAATTTTTATATGTTTACTTTAAATCAAAGTTAGTCTATTTGTATAAAATTTTTTAAAAATCTAAAACTTAAAAAAAAAGGTGGGTGGGTGTTCTAGTGGGAAGATCACTGACAGGAAAAACGTTACTATTTACTGAGGTATTTTTCACAGAATGAATAAAAACTCAACTTGCATTTTCATTGTGGGTGCTTAGAGAAGTTACACAAAATTCAAGCTGTGAAGGTTTATGCTTCGTTAATTATGACTGTACTTTTTCATTTTCTGACTAGCCCTGATTTCCTTATAGGTGAGAATCTTTTATATCAAGTGAAATAAAAGGGTTAAAGATAGAACATCAGAGCAAATGTGGTATTAAGTCTGGGCACTAGTCATTTGCACATACAGTGCTTTGGGTGTTTGCTCATTTTCTTAGGTCACAGTGACTGAGGTTTCTGAGTTTTTTCCTTTTTCATGTCTGAGGCAAATGCCAGTAGATGGTCTCTTTTTCCTTCTAGATGCACTTAAGGAAACTTTGGACTCTTATGTTTGTGTTGAGTACCTTAAAGTCATAACCTGATCCCTGATATGCCTGCTCTCAATGAACCCTACTTTGGAAATGGAAGGGACTCAAGAGAGTCACAATCCAAACCAAGAATGCTGTCAGGTTTCGGTGGAATATGGAGTACATGGAATCATAGCTGCTTAGGCCAGAGTAAGGTCAAGCTATTTCTGGTGTAAACTTTCAAAAGCAAGCAAGCAAGCAGATATGAGAAATAATTACCTTCCCAATGTAATTGTGTTGATTTACTCTAAATGGGTATCAAAATCAGCTTCACTCTTCAATAAGAGTTGAATTTAGAACTCTAGAGAGCTTAAAAAATGTAGAAAGTATCATTTTATATTCCCTAATCTATATAAATTTAAAAGGGACATATTTTCTTAGCTGAATATGAATACCTCTTAGAAATAAATTCGTTCCTCTCATGTAAAATATCTTATTTTAGTGTTCCATTTCAGGAAAGAGGTTCTGCTGACTTTATAGCAGAAATCTTATTTTTATCCCTTTTATTTGGATGAGAGATTTGAAAATTGAATTATGTAAATATTTCAATGCATCTGCTATTATTTTGTGGAGTTTATTAAACTACTTTAAAAGATTGTATAGTCTATTTATTGTATGTGTGTACAATAATCTGATAACCTGAAATTTACAGTGGATTGCATACAACCTGGCTAAGTCTTCGTCAGACTGTTGAATATTGTTTTAGCCTTGTGCACTGGACTCTACCTCTGTATAGGAAAAATTTCCATATTCATTAGTATCAGTCTGTATTAATTGGCTATGTTTCTTGCACAAAACTTTTAAGTTGCTGTAAGTGTAGACTTTAGTTTTACTTTTTGCAGTATGAATCACTTAACCATATAGATAGATATCTTAGGTTGGTTTTATTTTTCTACATGATGATGAAGACTTAAGTTTTGTCCTCTGGTTTGTTCTAAGTTTGCCAAAAGGAAAAACAAAACACAAAACAAGAACAGTACCTATTGATAAATCATAGTGACTGTAATTTGTCTGCAAGGTGGTTTAATGCCCTACAATTATGACTGGTTGGCTATTTAGGAACACATTGTCTTAGTGTAGTTTTTGAATGGAGAGGTTTTGTTGGTCATTAATGAAGGGTGAAGAAAACCACATAATATGTTGACTTTAATTTTAGATTTGAGTTAATAAGTAAAATAATTGGGACAATAAATATGCATCCCAATCGATGAATTTTGTTTGTTTTCCAGTTTTTAACTGGAGAAGGAAAGGAAGTCGGGGGTTTACAACTAAACTGGAGGGCCAGGGGAGAGATCCCATAAGCCCTGGATGTACTCCCGTGCCTTAATGCACTAGGTGAGGCCAGGGGCTCAGCCTCGTCCCACCTCCTCCTGCCCTTCCAGGCTGCTCTCCTTCCTTCTCTTGGTCATTGGCAGGGGTGTTACCATCTTGGGGTATCCCTTGGTTCTGGGAATTTTGCTCCTTAGCCCAGCTGCAAAGCAGAATTTGGGGAGTAAGCACTTACGACTTTTCCTGCTGCTTTTGGTAACCTCTCACCTGGGGCCATATTTTATGGCTTTGAATTTTTCAAAACAAAATATTCCTGGTTCATTGTAGGTATTTAATAAGTGTTAAATAAATAAACATATACATAGAACAAATAGTGCCTGCTTTCCTGCTGTATTTTTTGAATTAATGATACTGTGATACAGTTCAACAGAGTAAATTTGTTTGTGCTGAGTGAACTTATTCTTTAGAGCACTGGGAGGGAGTGTGTTTACCTTGTGAGTCCTGAGTGATTTGCAACAGTGTGAGAACAGCTTAGAAATCCATCAATCCAGGTGGCGTGTAACTGCACCCTAGTGAAGCACTGTACTTTTCTTTAGATGCTGTGTTTATATCACTGTCTCCCTGGACTTCCCTGCACCTCAAGACTTACATCAATTGGACCTTATGAACATGGACCATCTCCTAAAAATCCAACCATAGAGCACTCCCTCCTTGTTGAAAAAGAGTCATGCATGGTGGCACAAGCCTATAATCCTGGCACTAGAGGGACTTGAAGCAGGAGGATCACAAATTGGAGACCAGCTTGGGCTATATATCAAGGCATAGGGGAGGAATAAGAAACATGCCCTAGAGATGAGATAGGAAAAGGATATTTAACTTGGGTTTTATATATTAAGCTAGGTGGACTGCAAGGAAAATCCTACAGACAACCCCTCTAAGATAATGGTTTGCTGTTAGTAAACACAGAACCTTGGTAGAAAACTTGCACCTGGAAACAAATTGTGCCACAGTGCCAAGCAGACCCTCGTGGAGCTGAGGGAGACACTGAGGGGCATTTGGACCTTACCAAGTCAGCAGGCTCCTCCCCACTTTCTCCTGTTAGGTTTTCTTATGTTTGTATGTGTAAAAGGGGCCACAGGTCCTCCAGTTCTGCTCTCCATTAGAAGTTTTCTTCATCTCAAGTAAAAGTGTCACCAGAGGTTCTGTCTGTGAGCATTGCTGCAGGTCTGAGCTGTACATAACCACCAAGGTGAGGATTTATCCTGACAACTGTCTCTGTCCTTTGTAGATCTTTGTAGAAAGTTCTGGAAAAAACTTAGAAATGGATTCAGATATAGTGTCTGACTGGCATTCAGATTTCACAGTCCCAGTAAACTCTTGTATCTTTTAGTGATTTGGCTTGGGGAAGGGAAGTCTACTAAGAATTTTTTTTAAATATATAAATGAGTTATTTCAAATGTGGAATACAAGAATGTCATTCCAAAATAAATACCATTTTGGATAAAAATATTAAATGTAACTTGAGCTTATGCATAATATTTGCTAACATTGATACTGACCTGTGTTGTAATAGAGCATTGGGTTTTAGTCCCAGTATAAAACTAACTGACTTCGAGCCAATCACTTCACCTCTCTAGATTTCTCAGTGAACTTGACTGTGAGAGATACTCTTGCTAGTTGTTTTTGCCACTGCATTCTGTTTTTGAATGCACTGTGCTCAGTCTTGCATGGTGATGGTTGAACACTACAGCAGACATGTAGGAAGGCTGAAGCTAGTAAAAGAAGTGCAGGTTTACCTGAGTTTCCCTTGGGGAAATTGGTTGTCTTTTCCCTGGAAAGGGTCCCCTCCTTGCGAAGGTGGCCATTGTAGACACAGTTCTAGGTCAAAGCCATGGGCATCCAGATTTCAGCCACTGTCCATCCTTTCCTTGCGTCTCTCCTGATGTAGCTGAATGTTCAACTTATACTTGAATTGGGTTCCACTGGATCTGGTGGTGTGAGTTCTTACCCATATTGGCAGATGGTGGAAATCCTGAAACTGAAGTTGGATATATTAACTCCCTCCTCCCCGACCACCACCACATGCGTGTGTCGTGAGAGGGCTGCTGCATCACTGCTGCTAACCTCAGGCTTGCAAACAGTGTTCAAGAGGTCCAACCTTGAAAGAGAAAGATTTTGCCCCTTCTTCCAGGGGACAAGGAGCAACCACTTCCAGGCTTCCCACTTCTGCGCCTGCTCACCAGCTTCTGGAGTCTATGTAGAAGGACTTGCATTTGTGGGCTACCAAATACTTGGTGTCCACTTCAAGGAAAAGAGCAGCAGTGGGGGACAGCAATGGTAAATGATGACAGTGCGGGGTCAGGAGACCCATCTGCGAGGCCTTGGCAAGCAGATGTACCTGCTCAGTCTCAAGGCTTTGCTGGTTTCTGAGTTTCTTCGTATCTTTAAGATGCAGTATTGGGAATTAAACTCATTGCTTCAGCTACACTCCCAATCCTTTTTGCTTTAGTTTTTCAGATAGTCTCATGCTTTTGCCTGGACTGTCTTTGGGCATGATTCTCCAGTCTCTGCCTCCCAAATACCAGGAGTACAGGTGTAAACCACCATGCCCGGTGTTTTTTCATCTTTAAAACAGAGAAATGTGTCGCTCCAAATTACCTAAAGATCCTTCCATTCCTAATCTTCAGTTATTCTATGAATGACTTAGTTATTCTGGTATTTCTCGGAGCAGACTTGAACTAGAACAGGTTTACTCACTTCACCCCTGCAGTCTTTGACAAACAGCATATACAGAATTTGGTAAAAGCTGTAGCATAGTGAACAGAGTCACAAGTGCTCACTAGCTCCCTCAGGCACCATCTGCAGCCTGCCACACTGAGCTGCTGAGTGTAAGCAAAACTGGAAACAAATTCTACATTGTTACCTAGAAAATGTGTGTTTCATAAGAAGTCTTTAGGCTTTGGCTGACACAATTACTCAGCACATATTGACCACGGACTGTGCTGGAGTTGTCTACTGGGTGCTGTGAACCAACACCATGGAAATAGATAAGGTCCTTGCTTCTCTGCTGGGCATTCTAAGGGGGCAGTCCGCAGGTAAGTTTCCAGATGCAAACTTTGGGTTGCGGTGAGTGTCGTGAAGGAAATTGGGCGGTGCGATAGCTACAGGGTGGGGTGGCTCAGCAGAAGTGACCCCAAGGATGAGATGGAGAAGCGGGAAGATGGTGACAACCCCTCACATGGGGCCTCGGCAAAGGGAGCAAAGATTCTGAGAGCAGAGGAGGCTGCTAATCCTTTAATGGGATGGTGCAATTTGTTAGAATCCACTCTGCCAAATGCAGTTCTGGAGCTCAGAATATGTGTCACCAGGCTGAAGGGAGGCAGGGGCTATGCAGGAAAGAACATCAAACTCATGAGCTGGTCCACCATAAGCAGTTGCTTCCCGTGTCAGTCACTTGGTGCTAGATCATGTAGCACTGACGTTAGTCCAAGTCCTGAGCTGCAGTCCACCAGGACTAAAAGCCACGGTCCCTGCCCTCATGAAGCTGTTGATGTTATGGAGCTGGATCAGTGTTCCAGATGTAACAATAATAAAAATAGATAGCGTCTATCATGAGCACTAAGAATATCTGAACCTGTCTCTGTAATAGAAATGTGTAAAGCCAGGCTGGCCTACCCTGTATAAAAAAAAAATGTAAAAAGTACAAGTTTTTTGTTGGGGGGCAGCACTAGTGTTTGAACTCAGGGCCTCACACTTGCTAGATAGGTGCTTTTACCACTTGAGCCACTCCTCCAGCCCCTTGTGTTGGGTTTTTCCAATATAGGGCCTCATGAACTATCTGCTCAGGGCTGGCTTTGAACTGTGATCCTCCTGATCTCTGCCTCCCAAGTAGCTGGGATTATAAGCATGAGCCACCAGCACTCAGCTAGAAGGTGCTTACTGAATTCGAACATTTCTTTCTATACATGGGTTTCGCAATTTGTTTTTTTGAGATATATATCCCAGACTGGCCTCAAACTTGTGATCCTCCTCTCTCTGCCTCCCAAATGCTGGGATTACAGGTATGTACCACCAGGCCCAGCTTGTAATCATTTATCGAGTATTATGCATCAGTACGTTCATATGTACATATTATATGTGTTACACATCAGTATATGATTGCTACCAAGAAAACCGAGGAGAAACGGCAGGGATAAGAATTTAGTAAAATGGTAGTTACAAGATCACAATACAAAAATTGACAGCTTAATTCACCAGTAATAGCCAAAGAGAATATAATGGAGAAAATGCCATTCAAAATACCAACAAATCATAACATATCCAGGAGCAAAACACTTGGTGCTTACAATTTGTCAGCACAGGTTTTGCCTTCAGTATTCATTCATGTGTCCTCATCACAGTTGGACAGGGAACTGTGGCTCACGCTGAAGGAGGGCACTTAGGCCTTTGGAAAGGCCAAAACCTTGTCAGTAAATGGTAGAGCCAGGAAGCCTGACTCCACAGCTTTTTTAAATTTTTTAATCACTCTGCTATATGCTGCCACTGATGAAAAGCCCTATCAAGAACCATGCTTCTGTGAGTTGAATAGTGTTCCCTCAAAATTCACACCAAGCCAAAACCTACAAATGTGGCCATACTTAGAAATAGGGTCTCTGGACTGGAAGTGGTGGGACATAACTGTAATCCCAGCTACTCAGGAGGATCATCATCCAAGGCCTGACCCGGGCAAAAGCACAAGACCTATCTGAAAAACACTAAAAGCAAAAGGGCCAGGGATGTGGCTGAAGGGATGGAGTGTTCTATCTAGCAAGCTGAAGCCCCACAAGAAAAAGAAATAGGGATTCTGCAGATGTAATTTGTGAAGATAGTTTTGTGAGGTCATACTGGATTAAGATGACTGAGGTCCTGGCAAGGAGAGGGAGGTTGAGAGCCCAGCGATTTGGAGGATGTGAGGATGGGGGGAGAGATTAGATGAGGTACTTGTGCACCAAGGAGCACCAGGGGCTGCCAGGGCTGCCAAAGCTGGAAGAAGAAAAGTCAGCTTCTCCCCAGACCATTCAGAGGAGCCCTGCTGGCACCTTGTTTTCAGACAGAACAGTGAGAGAATAAATGTCTGTTGTTGGAAGCCATCTATTGTGTGGCAATTTTTTATGACAGCCCCAGGAAACTAAACGACATGCTAAATTTCACTGGCAGTATCAAAAAAGACTGGAAGGGACGAGACCTACCATGTTCTTGAGTGGGAGTCCCAGCACTGCTAAAGTGTCAGAGCCCCACTTTCCCCATTCTCCCTCTTGTCCAATGTACTCAGTACACCAAGCTCTGGCCCCACTAAGGATCTTTCTCTAGCTGTTATT